TGGAAGGACTACACATATGAAGGACAGCGAAAGGCAAGGATTCGTCTGACAGGCGTGGGGCTGGGGATTTTCTTTTTTCTCACCAACGATATTCATCAGTTTGAAAAATCTTCCTTTTGTGCTCTCAGTGGCTAAGGCAGCACTAGTCATTAATTATTCCTACTGGTAAGCTGTGGTTAAGTTCTTGCAAGCTGCAGACGATCTCATAACCGGTTGTTAAGTTGATTTTACAATGTCATATGTCAGTGAACACTCGCTTTGTCGACCATGTAGACAGCGAAGTACATGTCTATGTAGAAAGGAGGATTCAGAAAAAGAATAAAGAAGTCAATTTCTTTACAGTTAGGACATGTACGCATGAAACTAATGTTAAGCCGGGATATGACCAGTTCTGGAACTGGCAATTTATGTATTTTTTTCTGAATCCTCCCTTCTATATTTAAGCACAGTGGCGGATCTAGGGGAGGGGCCCCCTTATTTTTGGTAAAAGAAAAATCGCAGAAGGAAGAAAAGCCGGCAGGGCAAGCAAAAAAAAAAAAAAAAAAAAAAAAAAAAANAGCTCAAGGTCTGGATCCGCTACTGAAGCAATAGAGCACTTTTTCCGTGTTTACATAGCCTCATCTAAACATGAAGAAGGTTGGGAAAATTCGAGACAGTTGAGCAAACCTGAGACGTAGTCGGGGGGTGAGGGTTTGCATAACTTTCGAGAATTCTCCCAACCCCCCGAGTGTTTAGATGAGGCCGGCTATGTAAGAACGGAAAAAGTGTTCTATTACTTTTATAAAATAATTCTCAACTAGACGATCTAAGAGCGTTTACTCGGGCTTCGTATTGCAGTATCAAATCATACTTTACGAAAACGCGTATTGGACACAATAAAAACAAATTAAAGAATCAGGATATTTTAGCACAAGAGTTCTGCTTACATATTTACTATTCAAGTTGCTTCGTTGAGTATCCTCCTAATTCAATCGCAAGTTGTGAGTTTAAACCATTTTGGTTCAAGAATCAATTACAGCTGTCTACGCATTTGTGGAGAACTTGTTTGCAAAGAATTTTCCAGGTCTTTTTACCACTTATGGCGATTACATTGTACATGCTAGCAGAAATTGTTCGAAGTTCGTTTACTGGTCGTGGCGATCCGAGTGGATTGTGCAGCTGAACATCTTTGCCGTGTTGCGATCTTAAACCCTTTTCAAGAGTCTTACCTCCTTTGGAGAGCGATTAAACAAACTCCTTCGCGAAAACAACAGTCCTAGGACACGGCGCAAATTGCATTGCACTTAAAATTTGCATAAACTTTCAAGTTGTATTTTTTGCGGATAACTTCCGAGAATTTGCGACCCTTAACGCAGTTTATGAAAAAATATTTGAGCTACATATTTTTATTGAATCAAGGCAGGAGTATTTTTAAAAAGGAACTCATTTATAAGGGAAGATGCAGCATTCTGTTTTGCTATTTAGTTTGGTTTCATGCTCGTCTAGTTCATGTCACGCAACATGATTTTCTTTAGCAGTCAGACACAGTTTTCCACAAGAATTAGCGATTGCTAAGACTGCTAAATATATTTGAACTACTAGTGAAATAAATCTGGCTAAACTATCGTCAATGCAGATTTTCCTTAGGACTTGACAAGAACGTTAACATTGGTTCGTCAATAATCCCGCACAGTTTTAATTTTTCCCGCACAGTTTGCCTCCAAAATCGCACGTTATTTTTTTTTTCTGCACCCTACTAGAAAGCCAACTAACTTGGAGGTAAGATATTTAATTCAAGTTACCGAAAGTCTTATCTTTACAAATTTGGAGATCGACATATACTGCGCGGTGCAGGGAACAAGTCGCACGTTTTTAATGAGCTACCAGTCCAAAAACGTTTTCGTATTTACCTCGTTTTATTGCAACATGATTTGTTTTACTGCAGTGTTCTAAATAATAACAGCAGTAGTCACATGCAGTCACTGACTGCCTATTTTTTGTCAGTGTTTTCGTAGTTTGAACTCATACCGCGATCGGCTCAACTGTTATCTCACGAGAACGTTTCGAGCTTGACCTTTGCTTACCTGGCTGGCTTTCAAGCAATATAATTCGTGGACCGACCCTTTCCGAAAACGATCGACATCTTTGTATGCGAGATGAACGTATATGGCGCGATTCTCACCAAAAATTTCTTTGCAAAACACCGCGTTCTGTCACGCGAGCAATGTCGCGTTTCTCGTTCCCAGTTTCCATGGTCTACGTATGGAACGCCTGGGGCCATGACCCCTATTTTGGCGACCAAAACGCTAACATTTTATAACTCGGGCTGCCCTACGGAAGCCCGAGTAAAAATACGGTCGAATCCAAAACGACACAACCGTGTTCACATACTCTCATCTGAACAAACCTATCGACCAATGAGAACGCGTGTACTAGCTCAGTTATTTTATAAATACATGCACTACGCATGCTGTCATCTTAAAATCAGTCACATGGTCGACATAATGAGTGTTCAACGTTTGGAAGTATTATAAAACCGCTTATTAGATCGTTTGCAACTTGCAAGGACTTAACCACAGTTTACCTGAGTGTATGAATAATCAATAACTGCCATCTTAGCTTAGAGACGTGTCCCAGTAATTGGTAAATAGAGGTTCAAAAAGAGAGGATCGCTGTTCAGGTTTGAACCGTCAAGGCATTCCTGGCGCGAACGTTATATGCAGTATGATTTTATAATATTGATATTACTTTTCTTGTCCGCTTTTTTAAACTTTAGATATTTCATGGTTACAAAACACAGGCGGATATAAGCAGGGAGTTTCTGCCTCAGGCAATCGAAGCAAGATACATAAAGCTGTGCGTCACTCACTGGTACAAATTTATCTGCACTAAGCTGGAAATTTACGGTTGTGAAGGTAGGTAAACTATACTGCTTTCAACCGTAGCAAAGGTACAACGTGAACCCCGAGCTTAGCGCGCAACCCTCGAGATGACGTTATTGCCCTCAGTTAATAATCCCCTAGAAATATTTTTTTTAGTCCTTTTCATTGGGCAACACTGACAACAAAACGCCTACTTTAAATCATCCAGTTAGCAGTAGAATAGATTTCCTTTCGTTGTAACCGGAGTAGGCGCCGGGAGGTTCCTAAATTCAGCGGAACCACTTAAAGGAAACGAATACGTCGTTTAGGTGCAGAATACCCTGTATGGACTGTAATCGATACAAAGCAGAAGAACGTTTCTCTTAAAAACGTGCATATTGAAAGAAACTTTGTTACCAACCTGGTTTATTGTGTACATGTAGCACAGGCAGAAGATGATATGAAAGATATAAATAGCTTCCTTGTTTCACCGCATCTATTTAAAAATAATGGTTCTTTTGTGGGATAATTTCTCTATAACTTAATCCGGAATTTTTCTTTCTTGTTCCAGCTTGATAAAACTCTGTTGTGAATCAACGACGCAAAGTCTACGACAAGATGTTTACAATCAGCTGTTAATAATAACGATGATACTGCGTAATGTTGTCACTACCACTATCTTAATTATTGGAATTCTTCATACACTGCACTACACTTTAACTTCTCGACACCGGCTAGTAGCTATATGCCGCATTTGTCACAGCTTTTCTAATGTATAATGAAATAGTCGGAATATATTTTGGCTGCGGAGCACAGTCCAGTTGGAGTCCAGTTGCAGAAGCCCTGCAATTTCGGCCTCGACTCTCGGATTCCTAAATTCCTTCAGGCCCTCCTTGTTATATTCAGATTCGAACTCACTGAATCAAGGAACATCTGAGATCTTCAAGCTGCTGTTGGTGATTTTTCTTGATTAGCATGTTGCTAAGCGACAAAGTATTTTTACAGCTGGGTCAAATATGCCTCTTTTATGCACATATATTGTTAAGTGTGTTGATTCGCTGAGCGTCAGGCAGTTAACCACGGTTGATGGTGTGAGATCCATCCTCTCTCTCTCTCTCTCTCTCTCTCTCTGTCTCTCTGTCTCTCTCCCTGATTGATTAAAATGGCAATGAATGGAAAAATGCATGCCATTTGATTAGGATGCACCCGGTGGGGGTGAGGGGTACTACCTTATATAAGCTATACAGGTATATGCGGCGCTTCGGAGTATGATTTTTGACCCGTTTTGGTCTGAAATAGAGAATGACTTACACTCTGGCCTAAAAATGGAAGTGTTGTCGGGAATGTTTTTACGTAAATTGAAACGTATCCTGTAAACTGCAGTGATTTTTAGTGACATACTGATTTTAGAGGCCTGAAATAGAACGTTAATTTTTGGATCAGGTCTGAAATTGGGTGTCGAAAATCACATTTGTTGGTTTGAATTGTCTAACGTTTTCAAGAAACTTCGATCTCCGCACACTCCCATAAAAACTTTTGGGAAGAATGTAGTTAAATTTGTTATGAACTCGGTTGGTCTATCAGATACTCTTTCTATCTCCGTTAACAGAACAGGCCTAGCTGGCTAGCTGATGTCGTTCCGACCCAAAAATGCCCCTCTGCACTGTCATTGCTATCATGGAGCATGTCTACTCGATTCAAGAATACGTGACAATAGTCTGTGTGACCTCACTTTACGAAAAGCGGTTTGTGTTGACCGGAACCGCGAGTAGCTAGAGGCAAGTTTATTAAAAGGCGCACGAAATCGAATCTACCGCCATCACTAGCGTGAAGTCAGTAGAACAACAATCAATAACATTTGTATACTTAACCGTGAATATTTGAAATAAATTGATCATTCACCACAGTTTTGGTCAGTTTAAAGTATCGAGAAATCTGTTTTTCCCTGACTATTTTAACTTGTCGAAGTCCTGGACTATGTGTATTACGTGTTTACGCTGGCAATAGTCGGAAAAGAGGCCTCGAAAACCCTTAGCTAACTTTCTCGGTATCTCTGTTGACGAAAAGCGCGCGCGGGCGCGTGACTTGCTAAGGCCTGCCCACGCGTGGAATCTCGACCTCTTGTCACGCCTCCGGCTGACGCATCTTTTAGCAGTAATATAATTTGACTTGGCAAGTCATTAACACTTTGGGATTAATTTGCATCGATCTCGATATCAAGTATTAACTCAGAAAGCCAAGTTTCACCACATAATCATGAATGTTTGAAATTTTCGTCAGAGGGATGTGAAGCCTGCATGTCTTGCGTGATTATCACCCAATCCTTTGACAATTACAGTGAGTACTTGATTGGTTTAGAGACTCGCACCGTCCAACACGCTCATGGCGTTCAGCTGTCCCTTGATTGTACATGGGAAACGAGTTGTCACGATGCAACCCGCAGCAAATCGTGTTTGATATACGCTTCACGCTTCAACCATGCAGTAAATGCGTCGAAACTAAACAGCGCTGGGCCTTCGTTAGAAAGTAATATTTCCTGTGTATTGGCGCATATACGGAACGTGCATAAGGCTATGTATGTACCTAATAAAACAATCAATTTGTTTTCACCGTCATTTATGTTAATTATAAGATGACAGCTTCCCCCAGGGGATTGTCATTAAGGTGCAATATGGATTTTGCCACTCGTGGCTCGTGAACTTTTTCGTGATGTTAGCACAGTCGCCTTGGATTTTAGACCAAACGTGGCAAAAACGTAAATTCATAGCAAGCTGACGTGACATCATGGCATTAGCCAACAGGAAATTCATTCGTGTACAATCTCGACAATCTTGAAACTCGATATGTAGATTTTAAACATCGAGAGGCTTTCGCCGGATAGTAGTTTCGAACCAGGCGTCACTGCAGGAGGATATTACAGCGAGCAGAAGTAAAAGAACGATTGATAGGCCAGGGCTATTTGGAACTATATTTGAATAATGTGTTTCTGGTTATATTTATTACAATTTGAAGATCGTCAACAATGAAGGAGAACTCGTGGGGAAGACAAGCAATATTGGAATGCCACTTCTCAAAGGCAGATTCAGAACAATAACATTAGAACCTTCTATTCATAACAAGACAACGAACACTTTGCCAGAGGAAGACGTGAATCAAGAAGAAAGCCAAAGCGACGAAAAGGGAATCATGCCGCCATATCTATCGACTTTGAAATACCAGCTGAAGGATTTCGATGCCGAAGCGATTCGGCAGTCGGACTATTTAGAAGAAGGGATCGAATACACGTCACTTCCAGCACACAGAACCAAAGGAGCGCAAAGCATTACCTTACCCTTGAATATGCCTGTTGTTGAGAGCGAAAAACTGTGCTTTCGACGTAAAAGCGATAATTCGCCCAATTTCAAGCACAAGGTGCATAGTTCAAATGCAGACGATTCTAAAGTTTCGCTTCTTGGGTCACACACAGATGCTGAACAAAATACAGCCAGCGGACGTGTGGACAACTTGAGTGATATGTGTCCAACTTCAGAGAAATGGCTCAACGACATCGATAAACTAACAAGCTTTAAAGCTAAGCACAGACTTGAAATCTTCTCCAAAGAAAAGAAGGAAATGGTTAGAGAATGGACATCGACTCCTAAGAAATTTTACAAGTGTATTTTGAAATGTAGACAAAAGCAATTAGCTTGTAATGGTTATCGAGTCACAAAGCGTGAACAGGGCTCCACAGTTAAAAAGATTTCTTTTCCCGCCGATGTTCTCTTATTTTCAGCTATCGAAGAAAACGCGTCTAAAGAATTGATCGAAATAATCAGAACCCACAGGGTCGATGTGAATTTGTGTAAAAACGCTCGTGGACTTCCTCCGCTTCATCGCGCTGTACAGCGCGGAGCAGTTGATTGTGTGCGCGTTTTACTGTCTCATGCGGCTGACATTAACCTAAGAGACTCCACAAATCGCTCCGCTATCAATTTAGCGATTTCGATGCGCCAATTCGAGTGTATTGTGCTTTTAATCGAGTCAGGAGCAAGCGTAGAGGAATACACGCAACAATGCGTGCAGGAGTACGAAGATGCTTTGGTTTTATCAAAGAGTTGTTATCGCTCTTTTGAAGTCAATGTCTGAAGGACTAAGATCTCCTCAAGCATGACCATCCGGCTGGTTAAAAGGCCATATTGTCCAATATCAGGTTGAAATGGCATGAACGCGCGTTTGAAATCAATGAGAAATAAAACCAAGGCTTCGTAGTATGGTTTTCTGGTCTCAGTATTTCAGAGACGACAGAGAGCGAATTTTGAAAGTAATTTACCCTCACAAAGAAAATAATCGAGTTTTCTGTATTATTGAAAATAATAAAAATTTAGTCAAACAAACGGTTGTTCCTTAACCTGTAGGTTTGTTTACTCTTCAAGAAATTTATTCCATGTCCGTCATTTTTTTCTGAATAAACAATGAGCGAAGAAGCCACCTTTTACCTCGGTTGTTTTGTTTTGAGAAAAAAAAAATATTCTCATCATGACATACATGTAATCTCTCAGAGTAGAGAAAATTATGACATCGATTTCACAAGTTTTCTTTAATACAATATTTCTCTTTTACGGATATTTTAATTAGATAGAAATGATATTCAAAAAGTCCCACAGCTAAATGATTCAGCTGCCATGCATTTAATTTAACCTCGGTAGGCCTCTTGATATAATAAAAAAAAGTAATGCAAATGGAGGTTGGAAAATTCTGTTTCAGGGAAGAGGGAGATACTAAATCGTAATTTCTGTTTGTGCGGGGTTAGATATGTTTTTTTTGTCATGCCTATCGTGCGCTGATCACAGAAATGAATTGTACAGTTCCCTGTGGAAATGTGTGTTAACTTTTGCAGTGGACTGTCATTGAGGGTCCCCAATAGGTTTGGCGGGATGCGGGATTTGGCTTTTTTTCGCCGTGATATTTGGGATTTGAGCTGAAAACAGGGGCGGGAAGCGGGATTCACAATTACGAGCGGGAGTGGGATTTCGTGTTTTTATAGGGTTGGGATGTGGGATTCGCAAATGGAACAGAGCGTGATACGGGATTTCAATTCTTACACGACCACATAAATTGTTGTTGGCCAGCGCAAAAACTACAAGCTGGCAGACACGAATCTTTTTTGCGGAAAACTGTGTCAGGTTTCAAATAATGAATAGCAACGGCTCTGTACCCTGTCATGTTCTGTCAAACGTATCCATTATCGCTTGACTACGTTAGAATCTGTTCATGCGACTCTATGAGGTGTTTGAGTCATATTGCAATCATTTGTATTGACCTCTGACATCAATGACATCTGTCCATTTCCGACATTTTCGACGCTTGCGTCTGCAATCTTGGCCTCCCGATCCTTTCTAGTTTTTCTAGTCTTTCGGATGGTGATGACAGTGATTTACTAAAGGAAGTATGTAACATTACGAATTGCGTCACCATATATTACGAAAAAGATCTGCGAGCAGGAATGCCTTCATTAGGAAAGAAAAGTTCTGAGGCCAGATTTCAAGGAAAGTGAAGATGCTGAAAACTTTGGAAGAAACTGTCAATTGTGTTTACGGGCCATCTCTTGAATATGGAAACGAACAATCTTTTCCTTTCACTGATACGTGGACAAAAGAAAACAAAACAGTAAACCGTTTACAGAAAGAAATGTTATAATCATTTGTGCTTACTCTTCTGCTAGCCATAGCATTCTTTTGTGATCTTTTGTGCGATATCTAGTTTTAAAAAGTTTCTGAGTTAATAATTAAATTAAGTACTACTTTAACAAATTAATAATTAACGCAGAAACGTCTTTGAAAAGTGGGCGGGATTGGGATTTCTAGGCAAAAAAGGGCGGGATGGCGGGATTAACAGCAAAAAATGGGCGGGAAAACGGGATCTGAGAACCCTATTGTGGACCCTCTGTCATTGTGTATCGATTACAAACTGTTGTACTTTCTTAAAAAGAAGGAAGGTGCGCGGGATAGATAAAAGTAGCAATTAAAGCTATTCGTTGGCGGATTAAAACTAGCTAAACCTGGTAGCTGACTGTATTCTACGTTCCCGTGAGAGCAGCTAAACTTGTCTTCTTCGTATTAAACAGCGACGGAGTGGGAGTAAAATGGAAATACGCTGGGGAAGTATGACCTTGAGTAGCCTGTCATGTTGTCACGACAATGCTGTTGGGAGTTTGAAAGAACTGGAATTCCGTTTTTTTACACACGGAGTTTTGTTCCTATTTGGTATTTCGATTCACAGCTACAAACTGAAATTTCAAGCAATTAACCTCTAAGCCACATTCATAAACGAGTAATTGTTTAATTTTGAAAGCAAGGAATATGTCTCACGGCGCGACTGGGTATTTTACTACCTCCTTCCTTTTTAACTATCTTTTGTCGTAATCTTCACCGATAGGTTTCTACTTTGAGCTAACCTTCTCAGAGCCCAAAACAAGGTGAAATTATAATTGCGAATTTCAGATACTCAGAAAAAAAAAACACCTGGTCTTTCGTACTCTTGCTCGAGAGATTGAGATCATATTCTCTTGTCTTGCTATATTCTTTTTTTCGTCCCGGCCAGCAGGAATAACATGCACGATAACGAGTGCTCTGTTGCTTAGGAACCGTCCGATTGCTGCGAGTTTTAACGGTCTCACGGCGTGGAAAAACGTACGAAGCGCGTAGTTTTCCCCGCGCGCGCCTCCTCCAGGACGTTCCCCTAAAGCTATCCCATAAAACGAAGAAGCCATAAGTTGCAAGGAATTAACTGAGCAATTGTACTAACTTAATTGAAACTGGTTTGACTGTGAACTGAAGATTAAAAACGGCAAAAACCTGATACCCTATTCGGTCTCACTAAAGTTATGGGGGTTTGACTTCTTAAAGTTGCAGCCTGATGCGAAAAAAGACGCTCAAAAACAATCAACAACAACAACGACGCGCATTCACTTCGACTAAAGGCTTCGATCTAGTAGCTTAAAATTTCGGAAGAGTGGTTTGGTCAGCCGCAAAAATTAAGTTCGCCGACTCACTGAGAGAGCGACGGAGTACTCACCACGCGCACCTCCGATCTCGTAGGTTTATGAAGGGATTAAAAAAAGGAAACACATGCACTTTTAGATTATTACTTCTCTGTCAGGGCATCTGTTTAAAATCTGAGAGCGTATTACCTTGTGTTCCTCGTAATTTTCCCGCCAGTTGTTGAGCCTAGATAACAAGACTTTGTGTTGCGACTACTTATCCATGTTTTTTTCAGATAACATGCGCCCCCGTATTTCGTCTCGAAACATTGGCTAGTAATTAAACAAATTTCTACGCATGTTATTCCAACAATATTCGAACAAAGTACATAATCTTTCTAAGGCCAAATATACACTTGGCTCCCATGCACCGTTTCGGGCAGGGTCGAACGATTACCTTTTTCGGCCCTAGTTTCGTCTGGTGTTATTTTCAGCTTTTGCTTCAGCTGTTTAAGGGCACAATTTTAAGTTAAATCAGTTTCGTTTCAGGTTTTTAAATCTCCTTTGACGAAAAGATCACGCCATTTTGGGACAGCACAAGGCATCAGGACCGTACTTATTTTGGCATGAATTCTTAACGAGTTTGATTAATCGCATCATGGCGAGTGACAAGAGTTTAGCAAGATTAATGGACCTTTGTCATTGTGGTCGGCAACTTGGCACTCATGGCTCAAAGGTTCCGTGAGGTGTTTCAGCTTTCACATGCAAGACCGTGAAAGGGCACGTGCTCGAAATTTCAACGACTTCCAACAGACTCTAAGTGACTCAAGGTTTAGTCAAGCTACGGCTTGGTTGATCAGCTTTTCAACAAAATTTCCTGGTTCTAAGGTGTTCATTCCATTTTATTTCTTGCGTGATTAAAATATCTCTTAAATATGCATGGAAAGGATTAGTGTCGTATCGCAAAAGATGATCTTAAGCTGCAAATTAAAACAAGACGAATAACTACAATTAATCTTACGGCAGGTCATTTCTGCGATGTAGAATATTGCCTCTAGTTTCCTAGGGAACAAAAGGCTCGAAACACGGGAAATGACAGAAAACAAGAGAACCGCGCAGATTTGGAAACTTTCATCAGATGGCCGGATTGCCAACGGCAGCGTCCACACTGCTACGCCGGAGAAATTTGAGAACGCAGCTTTAATTCCAGGGTTTGGCCTACCGGCTATACTAAATCCGTCACGAAAACGGAGCTTTCCATGAGCAGGAGGACTTTGAGGACGTCGGCTTTGCATTTTTATTTGGACGGAAAACGTTTTGAAAACGATTTCCCTGGCCTTGTTTTCCTTAATCACAAATCTAAAATGACCGGTGATTGTTGCGTTTTTAGATTCCTCCACGGTTGTGTGGGCGGAAAACATTTGATGCGTTTTCAGGGTGAAACCTTCGTTTTCAAATATACTTCCAGCGTGGTGTGGACGGGGCCTATAATAATTTGGGTTCAGTATGTTTTTCTCCATGCAGGCTTCACGGCGTGCTTGCCATCGCTAGGGAGTCAAGACAGCTTTAATGGATAAAGAAGTCTTAAATAAAATACATTATGATTTCGGTATTCTTATTTACGTGCAGGTATTAACCATTACCAGAATAGGCCTAAAATGAGTTGTAATGAGTGTAGGGAAGCAGTGACGTGTGACGTAATGCCACCAAAACAAAGTACAGGACATTTCACAAATAGGTGCTGAGGGACACGGAATACATTTGCAGACCTCTCTAACATGACTAACATCGATAATCGATAAAGTTCTTCGTACGTGCCTCGACAAATAGCGTTTGAAGGATTAAGCAATAGCAATTTCCTCGAGCTACATTCACAGCTGTCGGTCATATTTCACAGTAGTGTTATTCCGTCACAATCGATTACCAAGTACATACATTTTGCATCAACGCGCATGACAATGTGGTTGACACAACGGGAGGGCTTGCATGTGTCCCACGAGGATCATCGCCCGCGTCTTTGACGATTTGGTCACAGTGTCAGGAAACGATATCGTGTTTGGAAAAGTATATGTCCTCAAGAAAGCCACACTTGTTCATGTTGTATCAGAATGGCTGTTCACACGTGTCCGGGTTAAAGTCATTTTAGACGATGACTTGATTCCAGAAAATTAATACAATTTAAAGCAAGGAAAGAACTGTGTTGGACTGTGAATTTCTTATGGCCAGTGATGAAAAAATCCTCGACGAGTTGCATTTTCTTTCCTGGAAAATCGAGGCATTAGAAAGGAAGCTTGAAACCAGTTTGGCAATTCAAGAAGACTTGGCAGCCAATTTGCTACCAGAAGACGGCTCGTCTGCGGCATCTGTAACGGCAATCAAGAAATGTGGGAGAAGGCACGTCTCCGGTTCGAGTTGTTCAGAACCTATTTCCAGCGACGGTGAACACAACAGTTCGCGCCTTGATAGTGCGATCTCTAAAGATTCAGAACACGAGCTCGAACGCAGCACTTCTTATCTCATTATTCCCGTCGGCAGCTACAAAGACAATGACTCTTATTCATTTACAACAGAAAAACAAACTTTCATATGGTCAGAAATGGATGATAATGCGCGTAAATATATTACCTGTGAAGACGCATTTATCGGCGATAACGACGGCGCCACAGAGAATAAGATCAATGCTAATCAGCGAGATTTAAGCATTCCAAGTGTTACCAATTCGCTAAAATCGTTTGCGAATGAAGTGATACCGCTACCGAGCCAAAGCAGCTTTGGTACAAGCGAAAAGCAAATGTGTACTCAGAGGAATGAACGTGTCTCCGAGATAATTCCTTCGGAAGATTGTTTACTTAATTCAAGAGGATCACATTCCAATGCCTATGATCCGTTTGAAGGGAAACGGGAAGTTGGAGGTGCTATCGACATTGAATACGATCAAGAAGAGAAAATGGTGTCTACAGAATGCAAAGATTATAAGCTGCCTTTAAGCCGCAAATATGGCCTTACTATTGGCATAGCAACGGCTAAAGAGCCTTCTCAAGGCATCAGCTCTAGTGGCGTTAACTCGTTTAAACCCATTACTCGACATCATTCTGAAAGATTTCAAAGTCATTTCGCAGCTGACGAAATCAAGGAGCAGAGGGCAGTGGATGAGCAATTGAGGTCTTTGTTCAAACAATCAACAACTCAATCAACGCATTCTTCTGATGGGGCAACATTTGATCAAATTTACAATCACTCTTCAGAGTCAATGCACTGTGACAACGAGAAATACATGGAATACAAACAGAGCTCAAGTGATTTTAAACCTGACATCAGCGCTTATTACACAGAAAAAGCCGGTGAACCATCTTACAACGTGATCTATGTTGTTTCGGAGCCACTTGAGGGCGATCACACTAACTACGATTTTGTTGACACTTTAGGAGAACGAGAAGCATTCTATTATGAAAGGAATCCAGCCAAATTAAATGCAAATCTCAGTGATGCGTTTGAACAATCATCTTCGACAAACACGGAACCAGACAGACAGCAAGCAATGGCAGATTATCCACTACTCGTGAAGGATGGAAAGTACGAAAACGTTGTTTATTTTACACGGCAAGTGGAGCAATACCAGAACGGAAACCATGGATTAAAACAGAACGAAACGATGAACTGTGACGCTGTTGCGAGTAACAAGCTTATTGAAATGCAAATGAATCACGTTCCAGAAGAACAAAGATACGAGCACGCCTATTATACTCGTAAACGATTTGACGCTAAGAGTCTTTTAACAAACAATGGCACTGGTTACACAGACGGCAATGAGAGCGGACAACACATTCAAAACGTCCCAGCAGATGTAAACAACAACGGCGAAGCTGTAAAGGCAGTACTATTTCGAGTTGACAAAACAAAACCACAGTACCAGGAGGCTGATGGGCATATTTCACAGTTTAATGATCAATTCTTTGGCATTGTTGGCTACAACAATGATTACAAAGCAATTAGCACTGATAGCAATGACAAGGTCGCCGCCCGCACCACGCGGTCAAAAAGCCATCCGGTACACCCTAGTTATCATCAAATTATGCGAAATCTTCACGCACCAAAGCGAGGACCACACACGCATCATTCCAGAGAAGATGCATTCGAGAACCATCCGGAAAAAAGAGTTCCAAATGATAACACACACTCGAAGTTTCACTTCCATTCGAGAGAAGATGAATTCGAGAATCATCTGGAGAAAAGAATTCCACATGATAACACACACTCGAAGTTTCCCTTTGAGGCAGACGTCTTAACTGAAAGCGGGTTTTCGGAGACGTTGATGTCAGCGTTGAGTGATGATGTGTTCTTTGACTCCACACCAAATCCGGACTTGGTAAGCCAAACGCCTTCAGGGAATGTTATTACCACTAATCACGATGCAGCGCCCGAGGTCTCCGGATCAGAGAGCTCTTATTCTTCTCTCACAAGCATCAGCTCTAATAACGGTGGCATCTACCCATGGAAAATTCGCAAAGACTCGCTGTCTCGTCAGGATTATAATGAGAGAAAGCAGTTTGTCATTCCCGATTATGAACATTCAGCTTTGGAAAGAAACTCCCGCCCCTCCTCAACTTCGTCATACTTCAGAGATAACGAGCCATCGTCTGACAGTGAACCCTATGTTCGCAGCTTCAGGCTTTCACCCCTACCACGCCCTGCTCGCGCTCCATCTCTTCACGAACAGCTCATGGGGGATATTCTTCGGCGTGAATACACAACTGGGCAAATAAGAGTTTCATCGCCAACTTCAAGTGTAGATACTAGTGATCTCTCTACGAGTGACCGTGTTTGCGAGTGCCAGTATCAATGTGAATGTCAGACCGGAATTCCTACAGCTGAAGACTTTAGAGAGGAACTGAAAGCCATTTCTACATATGTGTTGAATGCACGCAAGGAATCAGCATCTCTCTATAAAAAGCCGCAAGTAAAATATTACCTGGACGAAGAGCAGGGGGACATGGACATTTTTGGTGGCTGCCTTCAAAAGAAAGAAAACAAAACTGTCCCGATGCTCGTAAGGGTCATCTTAAGACTTCGAAAGCACTTTTTTGGAACACTGGACTCAAAAACTCCTTTCGAGGAAAAGAGTGAGAGCGATGTTAATAACAATGAACGTATTTCCTTGGAAAAACTCGAGGAACAAACTTTCAACAGGAAGCAGCGGGGTCGAAAAATTTCCTTCTCACCTTCAGCCATGCTTCTGAGTGCAATTGGTGAGAATTCAGCGGCGGAAGTCAAGGAAGTCATTGAAAAGGAGAGAATAGATGTGAATCAGTTAAGTCCCAGTGGTCGCTCATTGTTACACAAAGCAGCCGCTGCTGGAGACCTGGAAAGCATTCACACCCTCATTCAATACGGCGCCTTGGTTAATATCGTCGACCAAGATGGTTTTCCGCCGATTCATTCCGCACTTAAGAAAGCTCATTATAAATGTGCTATACTGCTTATTGAATGTGGAACTGATATTGCTCGGTATACAACGGAACGCATCCGGGAATTCATGGAAATTAGAGACATGACGACAGGGCATTTCCCTGTTCTCCTGAAAACAAATTTGTGACGTAATGTGAAGAACAGTGACGTGCTAAAACTTGCCTTAGGAGAGTTATCAACGTTTACCTCAGACGGGAACTGAAATGACTCTCCAATGCTTTTCAAGAGTGATTTTCTTTACAAAATAGCTTGTTTAAAATAGATGAGCACCGAACAATTCAAAATCGAAAACTATTCAGTACTTTATTGAAAATCATCGATTTCATTAAAAATTAAGTCAAGAAGAATTAAACTGGATAAAGGTGAAAAAGTGTGAAAAGCATTGAAAATCATTTATTTTAAAAAAAAATAAGTCAAGAAGAAACTGAATGAAGGTGAAATGGTGTGAAAAACGTGTTTTTTGTAAATTTGCGTCAAGTCTGGGCTGATGTCTTTAAATTATTCGCTGTTTTTAATTACAGACTCATGTAATTAGAATCTTAGAATCATGAAGTAAATTATGCTTTGTAACACTTCATATTAATATTACACTGTATTCCAATGTACGGCCAGGGATTCTTCAGTTACCTGCACGTATAGCAGTTAAACATGTTTACTTGGTATATGTTACATAGCTGTCCAGGCTTACGTGAATCTCACGCGATCGCTCATTGATGACTTGGCTATGATTTAAACTTACGCCACGTGGGATACTCATTTATTTTTTTTTTATTTTTACTGTTGCGTATGAAACAGACTACAGTTAATGACTAGCCCCGGTCTGTGGGAATATCTAGTTAGGTTTTTTTCCTCGGTTTCTCAATGAGTGAATGTTGAAGGAAGCATCTTGATTTAAAGAGAAACGAAAATGTTTATTACGCCGCGACAACTCACTATTTGTGTACTCAGTTTTAGTTCTCAGTAGGCCCTCCCTCGACACCATAAAAATGAATTAAAACACTTTAACTACGACATTGAAATCGCTCAAAAATGCCACCGTGCTGTCCTCTAAAAAGTACCTTTCTGCTTGGATTTTTTTAGTGAATTTGTTTTCTTCTGTTGGTATTCCCCTTCTATATCTCTTCTTTTATGTGAAAAGATAGTCCAAGAAACGTTTTGCGAGCAGACAATTACGCCAACCACGGCTCACTAGAACAAAATCGTAAGTAATCGCATTCTTGAACACAAAAAGTAACTACCTATCACGAAAATATCGCATACTTGGGTCACCGTCTTTGCAACAAACCGGTAGATAATGCCATCTGTAGAATTCAGGGACGGGTTTAATCGGCTTTCAACAATCCAAGATTTATGTCAATGAACATTTCAGTTGTATCACTTATTGACGATTTTTTGTTCCGTAAGTTTTTGCCCTAGCTTTACTTTCAAACTGTAACTTAAACTTAGCAGTGGAAGTTGCTTCTCACGTAAAAGGAATTGATGACGTGGGTTAAATTTTAATCCTGCAAGTTTAGCGATAACCGGCTTATATATGGACCAGGTGTGTTGTCATCTTGCCATTTGAACAGAAAACAAAATCATCACAGAGTAATTCTTATAGCGTCCCAGCAATTACTCCTGGTACTAACAGTCACCTTATAATACTCTATTCTGTCGAACATTTGTCACTGTAGGTGTGTCTGTTTATGTAGCTGAGTGTAGTTTTGTAGCTGTAATATAGGAACACAGAAACCATCAGATACTCTGCATTGACATGCAGTTCAGTTGAGTTCTCTTTGGTTTGCCAGTGACTGGCTTTGGTTGCTTGCCGTCCACAATAAGTTTCGTCACGCATTTGTGTAATGGGAACAAGTTAGCCACGACACACATCACGATGCCGTGTTTCACTGAGGTTCGCCATTTTCTACCTACGGTGTATACGCTGAAATAAACTACGTAGATCTGTTTCTTTTTATTCTACATAATGTGACCAGGTCAGTAGCAGTCACAGCCAAGACTAGATCGAAGAAGACCAAGTTGGTATATTTGGATTGATTTTCTCTTGTACTGACTCACAGCACATTAAGGAAAACGTCCTTTCTTCACCCCTTATCAAAGGGCCTAAAAGGAAGAGGGACAGGTTTTGGACAGGAATTATTATTTTCAACTCCGTCTGTTAATGTTGGCCCAACGAATCGAAGGCACCTATATCACTAAGCGTTAGTGTTCTAGAATTGTTTACAAGTGGGAATTATTGCACAGGTTTCTCTTTCAATATTTTCCTTTGAAATCATCTTAAGCTTCGTTACAGGTTAACTCTCCGTTGAGAACTGGGTGTGATCTGTGGCATCGTGTCGTCTTTGCGGTCTTAATTATTCAGCAAAGAAAACCTGACGATAAAGCGCAGGTCGCAAGTAAATGTCTTTACTTACGGGCCACGTAAAACTTTATACTATATCTTTTCTTTCATCTCATTGTGTGCATAATGATCATCATGTATTGACTGAGGATAGCTTTGAAAGAAAATTATTTTTATTTATGAACGCTTATAAACATTGAACCTGAGAACCTCCTAGCGGTCTTGGGAAAAAGGGGAAATAATCATTTATATATATACCTTGGATTTATTTGAGGGAATAAGGTTAATTTACATGGGCGGCTCTGCTATTAACCGGAATTTTGGCGATATGTTTTAGGGAGTATTCAAGTTACAAGAGTTTGCACAATCGGCAACTTTCCACTATTTTGCCCCAGAAGGCTTTAGAGAGAAGAAATCGTCTTAAAAAGTATTTTCCATCATCTTGTGTATTGCCATGGTTTTGGTCTACCTCGCAAATTCGGTGAAATATATCTGTCTGGATTCGCAAAAAAATAGCCACAGAATTTGACTTGTCACTGATAATCTTGATATAATTCTGTCCTAGAGCTACAGTCTGAAATTGCCTTTCAGCGAAAATGAATAGAAATGTACTATATATGTGTTGGAAATACTGAAATACCATAACAATTGCAATAGAAACCGTCTAGTTGTAGTTTAGGTCAGGATTTGGAGGCTTAAGAGCAGTGCAGAATAGTTTTCCGCAGACTCGTTTCCAGTCTCCGCGTATTAGCGGCCGCTTTAGTGGTCTCGCTAAACACAGATTGAGTCCACACAAGTTAGAAAACAACAAATCGTGTTTGTCGGCAAATTAAAGACCCAAATTTACGTCCGTGTAGATTTTGATTCGCGAAATTTGTCTGAGTGATTTTACTGATAACAAACCCAGTGATTGAACTCAGCAGTAGAAGTCTGGCATGACACAAGTTATCGTTGACAATGCGACAGTTCTCGGGAACAGTTGCCACCCAAAAAAAAACAGATTTTCTGCTTCTGTCCTTGATGTTGTTGGCAGAATATATGCCCTGAGGTGGCTTTACAACGATTCACAACGGTTGACAACGGTTCACAGCGGTTCACATGACACAAATAAAGAAATATATGTTATTGGCCGGCTGGGAGGTCCGTATAGTGAAAAACTGTGACCGAGGTCTTTCAAGCCCGAGGTCACAGTTTTTCACTATACGGACCGACCCTAAGCCGGACAATAACATGTTTATCTTTTTTTCTTGCGGTGAATTGGCTTACAAGTGGGTTTGTTTTCGCAGCTTTGTCATTGAATTGGCTTACGCACCGTCTACAGACTCTACAAACCATTCGTAAAAAATCTAACGAGCGAACGAGCGAGTAACTCAGATACTAGAAAAAGAAAGATGTATTAAAGAACAGATTTATATCGAACTACTCTATGTTAGTTGCATTTAGTTCACCATTTAAGTTCTCTAAAAGTGTTTTTCCGGTGTGAAATTTTGTGCAAAGTTTGAAGGTGTACTACGAAAACAATTTCTGTCAGTTGTTGCGAATCACTCGAAATCAGAATTTTCTACCGTAAATTGAGTAGCAGATAGTGAGGAAATTCGTGAAGTGTATTCCACAGAAATTCTCTCAAATACGGCAACGATCGGAGAGATAAACTCGACTGAAATGGACTCTTTTTTTACTTAAAATTGCACAGCGAGAGTCACGCAGGATTACGCGCCATTACAGCGCCGAGCTACAAACAGCCAAACAAACTCTCACAACTTCAAAAAACTCAATTGAATTTACTTACAGTGACTTTCCTTGCCATTTAAAGGTGAATAGAGATAAACTTGCGTTGATTAATCGTCTATGGAAGTGTAATTCGTTCACGAAAATAGATCAACTGGAGGGATTCCACCCGCTGTGGCGGTCCGGATGAGAAAATTCCGCCCGCTCCAGGAACCAATCAGATTGCAGGATTTGTTGATTTCCCCCCGCTCACGAGCTGAGAAAAAGATAATATCTTTTATTTTCTTTAATCGGGGATGTGAACCGTTGTGAGCCATTGAAATCTACTGTACATGTCTTGCTCATGTGCACCGTAAAAAAACAGAATTTACGTAAAAAACAAAAGATATTGTCGCCTTTCTGCATCAATCCAGAAAAAAAACAAAAACAAAAACAAAACAACAAAAAAATCAATGGCTCCTCGAAAACCATTTCGTGAAATAATTCTCGCCCATAATTAACCTATGTGGCGTAATAATTGCACTCTATTGGTCCACGACAGGATCTATAGTTTGCTAGACAATGATGCTAAGTACCACTGAGTAGACGGAACAGTGCCGGATGATGCTGGGAAAGCTTCGCACTGTGTAAAATATAATTCAGACAATCGTGGACAAAAGTGGTTGAGAAACTCCCCGAAAAAGACCTGTTTCGTTGAACACGTGAGTTTTTCAATATCCAATTTTCACATTTCGACCCCCTCTCCCCTTTTCAATGTTGCAGCCAAGTGACAGTGTCCACGGAGCGTATTTCAACATTGAAAAGGGGGAGAACGGAGGTTTGGCTATCGACAAAAAAGACTGTTTTTTGAAATTACGGAAGGAAGCCGTCAGAAAGCGTTTGTTTCGCTTAAATGAGTCAACACCTTTGTCCATGATTGTAGCTTTCCACAAGGCTTATCGTAGCTCAAATAAAAGGAAATAACTCTCCTGTATGCCTTTTGAGGCCAGGAAGACTAAATTGAGTTATTCACCGTCTTTTCGTTGAATCATGAATTGCACAATTTAAGTAAGAGTGCTTTTAACATGAAATTGGACTCCAAATCAACACGAACGCACAGCGGAGAGCTGATCTATAGCTTTCTAAATGCCAGCATCGTCCTGAATGGACTGAACAAGAGCTTCCTACATCGGGAATCGATTGAACTTCAAACAAACTAAGCCATAGTTAGCAGTAAGCGAACACTTAACATGTTATCGTTACGTCAATTATCGACCGGAAGCCACGCAAATATATTTCTTCCGCGTTGGCGAATCACAGACAGTTCTGATAGTTAGCTAGGCCGTGAACGCCTAAAATTGATAAAACAACTGAGGAAATTCTACTCACGATCAGCGCTTGACCCATTGTTCTTCACTCCGTTTGTAACCATGTTTTGCTCGCAAATAGCAATATCCCGGATTCTCTTGCCCGGATGTGCTTGAATTTTATCGAGTGGGAAATGCCAGTTCCCGACCTCAACAGATTTTTAAGTCTTTAGCGACATCAAAGTTCAGAGGAAATAACGCCAACAGCAGCTAGAAATGTCTAGTCCATTGCACGTGTAAGCCCTAAATTGATGTGGCTAAAGCTCTTTGCTGTCTAAAGCAAGCACAACATTATCGCCACAGTGCAAACGGCCTACTATTACGGGGCTAAATGAAGCCCCGTTCCAGTACATCTCAGGGCCCTTTTATGTTCGATAACGGGCGACGTTTGCTAGCAAATCGTTAGGCTTGCACCTTCATTGGACTTAATGATGTCCTCGGGCAGACTTCCTTTAGACAGCAGTTACAGAACGCTGATCAGTCGGTTCCTTCTCAGAGTCACAGCGCGAACTGAAATTCAGGAGAGTGTAGAAACATGCAGCAAGAAGTTCTTTACATTTTATGCTAGGCAATATTTACAGGCTGCTGCCATAGGGAAAGCAAAATAAAAAAAAAAACAACAATAAAATAAAATAGTAATAAAAAAATAAAATAAATAAAACCCCCTTGATTTCTTTAACACTGTTTTCATAAACCCATGCAGACATATATTTCAACGGATTAAGACCAGGAACCATAATCGGGGACGGAGACCGTAAGCGCGCGCCATTTCTAGTATTGGGGCTGTCCCCATGAT